AGTAGGCAATGGGGAGCTATTGAAGGCTTTTGAGCAGAAGAGTAACATAATGAGAAGTTTCAGGTTGCTCTAATTTAACAGCATATAATAGATTAAAGGAGAGTCTACATGAATGGAATACAATATAGGGATCATCACTACTTATTTTTCATTCAATGAAAACTGAACTCCTATGCAGAAGTAATCTTTCTCCTTAATATAATCTCTAGTCACTAATCTGCAGAGGGTCGATACTCCAAATCACTTAGTGTTAACACTGAATTATAAAGAAAGGAGTAAATGGCTTCTCTAAAATCAGTATTATCAATAAATGTACATGAGTTTAAGTTACCACTAAAAGGAGTTTCGTATATACAGACACTAGAATATTAGTCAGCCTTAAAGAAAAAGAAAATCTGATTCATGCTACAACATGGATATCTTTTAAAAAAATATGTATTTTTTAGATGTAGTTGGACGCACCTTTACTTGTTTGTTTGTTTTTATGTGGTGCTTAAGGATCAAATCCAGGGCCTTGCACATACTAGGTGAGCACTCTACTGTCAAGCTACAACCCCAGGCCCAACAACGTGGGTATCTTGAGGACATAATTAAAGCTAAGTGAAATAAGCCAATCACAAAAAAGACAAAGTTCTCAGAGTAGTCAAATTCACAGACAGAAGGCAGAATTGTGATGCCAGGAGCTGATAAGAGGAAGAAATGGGGTTTAGCATTAAATGGGTGAAGAGTTTGAGTTTTGCAAGGTGAAAAGTGTTCTGGAGGTTGATTCACAACATAAATGTACCTCACACTACTGAACTGTATGCTTAAAAATGGCTAAGACAGTGAATAATATGTGTATTTTACCATGATTAACAATAATAAGAAAAAAGAGTTTCAGAATGGTTCCTAGAACAGAACCCAACTCTAAAAAAGAAACATACCCAAAACATGGTACATCTGAAAGGCTAAAAATAAAGAAACAGGGAAAGATACACCATACAATGCAAATAGAAAGCAAGCAAGGGCTATGATCTTGGTATATAATGAGACAGAATTCATACTCAGTGCACAAAATAAAGATATAAGAGTTTGGAGTCTAGTTATGCATCAAAACAACACTTTCATAAAACAGAAATTATAGGAGGAAGAAATAGATATGTTAGTAACAGAAGACTGAAATACATAACTTCTAGTCCAGACTCATCAAAGGGTTAAAAAATTCAGATAGAGAAAACTAAACACTACAAACCATATTTCCTGTATGTAGAGAAAAAATGTGTACCTCCTAGAAAATATTCCTTTTCAAGAGAACATCATGAAAATTAACCATATATTAGGACAAAGAAAGCCTCAATAAGTGGCTTTTCAGGATATGAGGTTTTTTTTTTTTAATACCTTTATTTTGTTTATTTTTATGTGGTGCTGAGGATTGAACCCAGGGCCTCACATGCTCTACTGCTGAGCCACAACCCTAGCCCCCAGGATATGAACTTTTATTGATCATAATCTTTTTCTAACTTCATTCACAATAGTTTCAATGGAATAAAAGATGTAGAAGCCCACTGAAAACTAAAAAGCACCAACTAAATATTAGTTAGCCATTGTGTCAATACTATCACTGTCATTATTCACTGCTTCATGCTCATTTGCTTACTCCCTGGTTCTCTGACACTTAGAGAACTCTGACAATCAGCAAGGGGAGGCTATGAATACAGATAGCACTTCTTCAGTGCTTACTATGAATTCTGTATGTACAAACACAGATGGCCATTATTTCTGGGTTAAAAAACAAACTTCAGGTACTGTTCTATGTTATTGTATTCTAATTATCATAGCTTTCTAATTGTTTTATAAAGTAAGACTTCTGCTTCTCTTACGTCACCTTCCAGGCACAGAACATTACAATCCATATTTTGAGCAAGCAATCAGTGAAGCACTTGGATTAAGGACTCACATCAAAGTTATATCTGGATTTGAGATTTTACTCTAGTACTCACTAACTATGTGACTGACTATAGGCAAGTATTCCCTTTCTGAACTTCAGTTTTCTCATATGTAAACAGAGAAAATTGAAGTATCTCTATCAACTAGGGTAAGTTTAAAGGTAGTGACACATGTCAAGGGTCTACATGTAGTCTATGGTAGGTATTCAATATTAGTCTGAGGTTGCAGAAAGAGGAGCACAATTTATCAAATTATCTTAGAATAGGGGTCCTTTTTTAATTAAAAAAGTCTGTGAGTAGAAATATTCTCCAGTGTACTTATTCAATAATACTATAGAGGCAAGAATGATAGTAGATCCCTATTATGAAATACTGTACTACAAGGAAAGAATGAATGTACTAATGTATGTACTAACACAGATGGCCATTATTTCTGGGTTAAAAACAAACTTCAGAATATGAAAGAAGAGTTCCCCTCCCTCCTTTAAAAAAATTATTTATGTACAGAGAAAGATCTGGAAGGATATATACCTGATTTTAAAGGGGGGGTAAAACTAGAAAATTGTAAGAAGTCTTGCTTTTAATTTTTCCCCCATTGTTGACGGACCTTTTTTATTTATATGTGGTGCTAAAAATCAAACCCAGTGCCTCACACATTCAAGGAAAGCACTCTACCACTAAGCCACAACCCCAGCCCTTATTTTTAATTCTTTATATTGTTTCTTTTATAATTTCATACACACACATACACACACATGAAGGAAAAAAGTGGGGAAAAGCTCTTTGGCCTGTTGGGGGGGGTGTTTTGTTTTTATGGAACTTTAAATGTTGATGAACTGAACAGAGGAGGTGGTTAGTTCTTCTGCCAAGTGTGAGAATTTCCAACACAGCTTTTACCTTAGAGAGGGAGAATGCAGGAGGGTGGGGGGAAAGACTGCTCAAGCATCCTCGTAACTCAGCATATCCTAGCAGGTAGTCTCATTCCTGCCACCACTGCAGCCCTGACACACAGAACAACAGAGAAACTTTGATAAATGTCAACCGAAATGGAGCAATCAGCTGAAAGCCATTTGCTGAGCTATCTGACTGCCCTGGGCTTGAGACTTTCCTTTATTCATTTATCATGATATACAGCTTTGGCCAACATACACACAGGAGAGAAATTGTTGACATGTGGAACCCAAGTACAGAAAATCTTTCATTCTTTCCTCCCTGGTCTGTTCACCAAATAAGTTTTTGTTTATTTAAAGACTACAGAGGATTTGGCTGTTAAGAACCAAATGCCTTTGGAGTGGAGTTACAACATAATTTATCATTTCCTCTGTTTATTAAAAAATCCTGCATCTTTGAAAAGCACATTTGCAGTGAGTTGGGGATTTCGGCCACTCATGAAAGACTGTTGCAAACCCCTGTGGCTGGCCCCCAAAGGGGCTCCTTTGCTCTCTTCCTGTTCTTCAATTGATCCTGTGCTAGCCACCAAGGGGTGGTGAAGGAGATGTGAGGACAGGTAAACCTGGCAGGAGATTATGTTAGTTCCTTTCATCTTGGACCTAATCCTGACCTTAAATCCTCACTGGCTATTTCATAGCCGTTCCCACCAGGATAAGCAGAGGAAACAGCATAACTTTCTTACCTATAGCAGAGGACTGAGTCTGGAGGAGTCAACTAGTAGAGAGAAGCAAGATGTTGCATCAAAGGAACTCAGCCAGGGTCTGCTGCCGTCCCAGTAGCTCCAATCCCAAGGCAGATGCCTGGCTGAACTAGAACTCCAGCCAAGACACTATAAACAGCAATTTAGCTGGGTGTACTAGCTACCACTTGAACGTGGGTCACACCTTGCACATTTTTTTTATTCCTGGCACAAAGGACAGTATCTGATAAACAACCAATGCTCACTAAATGCTTGCACAGGCAGCAGGATGCTGTGGTGTCCTCCAGGTGACTGAACACTAGGAGATATGAGAGGGTGGCTTGCCCAGAGAGACCATGGGAGCTCGGTGTAGTACCCCCACTCCCACAGCTGCCTTTGTGCACTTCTTCATCTGGCTGCTCACTTACATCCTTCACAATAAACCAGTAAACTCGTTTCCCTTAGTTCTATATGCCATCCCAGCCAATTACCTGAATCATGGTCAAGGAGGGGGCTGGAAAACCAGTTTGTAGCCCTTGATTTGTGACTGGCATTGAAGTGGGGACAGTTTTGTGGGGTTGAGCCCTTAACCTGTGGGATGTGACACTGTCTCCAGGTAGATAGGGTGAGAACTGAAGTCCAGTGTAAGACATGCAGTTGGTAGCCACTGGAGAACTGCCTGCGTGTTGGGGGAGACCTCACACATCTTCGTCACAGAAGTGATCCACACTTAAGTGTGAGAGAGTAGGAAAAAGCAGTGTTTTCCACTCATTAGTGAGCAGAGCAGGCTTTAGAATCAGGCCTCAATTTGAATCCCAGCTCTGCCACTTGTTAGCTATGTAAATCTGGGCAAGAAACTTTACCTTTGTAAAATGAGACTAACCATAAATAATAAAAATCCTCTACCACCTTCCAGCTCTGTTACTTGAGGAGCATCAGTTGCCTAATATTGTCAAATCTTAGTTTGCTATTTTGTGGGGGAGATTGAACATTGGAGATTGAACCCAGGGATAGGTTACCACTGAGCTATATCCTCAGACATTTTAAATTTTTATTTTGAAACAGGATCTTGCTTAGTTGCAGAGGCTGGCCTCAAACTTGCTGCCTTCCTGCCTCAGCCTTCCCAGTAGCTGGGATCACAGGCATATGCCACACAGGCCAGCTCCAGTTTTCTTATTTAAAAGGAGGTAATATACACCTGTTAAGTTTACTATGCATTATAACTATAAAGCTTTAGCGACTCTAGCTCACAGTGGCTATATTGTGAATGGATGAAAGAAAAAAATATTTGGGGATAGGGGTTAACTTAACTTGGCACTCAAAGATGGGCCAAAATAAACCACATGTCTATCAACAACAGGCGGTAGGCCCTGGGGATGGAGAAGGTATCTAATTACAGTAAAAGTTGAGAATAATGACAAGAGTAGAAAAAGACAGAGGGACTGTTACATCACAGAAGAAACCAGCATTTATTAGGTAGCTACTATGTGCAACTTACAATGCAAAAATATGAATGCCTTCTATGTTCAGGGTATTATGCCAAGACACAGACTAACTGGCAAAATAATAATAATCATAGTTTGGGTACAAATAAAAGCATTAGATTGAACTGAGAGCCAACAGTGAGGGTTTTAGGTTAGGGGGTAAAGGAAGGATTCCCAGATGACATGATAAGAAAAGTAAACAGGCCTGGCCTGTTGATGAGGAGTAGAAAAATGATCCAGGCAGAGAATGGAGCATGCATGAAGTTGATCCAGAGGCAAAAGCTGTTCTTGGTTGCTTTAAATATAGGTACTTAGAGATCATCCACCCCAACCAACTATGTCCTTTCCTTTGTAACTGTTATTCTTTCCGATTTTTTATAATTTTTTTATTTAGTGGAAATGGGCCTCTAGCAAAGGGGTTCAGTCACATCAGAAGGCCCACATCAGTCTGAACAGAGTTTAAAATTAGAAACAGGGCTTGATTGACTGTTTGAAAAATGAGGCTCCTGAGATGAGGAGCAGGCAGTTCAAAGCCTGTTAATGATCCCCATCCCTTGGAGACATCATGGTCAAGGCAAATGCCCAAGTAAAGACGCTCTGCCATCAGTAGATGTTCTCTGAGGGCTAACCAGGCCAGAAGGCTCAGAGTAGAATGGGGTGAGCAGGAGGAAGGTGGAAGAGAATGAGCAGATCTGAGTATCCCACTGGAAGGCAGAGCCTTCCCTGCACTGACAGCACAGTGACAGACTTCCACGTGGATGGAGACTGGGGTGGGAAGTGCCAATTTGCCCCCATGGGATCCACCAGAAACTGGCTGTTGTGTGGTTGGGCTCTGACAGACTTTCATCCAAGGAGTTCTTTGGTCTTCACTGCCAGATGCTTGTCTAGCTCTGCAACTGTGTCATCGGCCATTTGGCTGATCTGCAAGAACACAAAATGAGATAGCTTGATAACCAAGGCTGCAGAAAGATAGGGGACAAACATTCCAGAAATATGAAAAGGTTATCTAGGAAAAATTACAGTGATAAAAGTTCACATTAACTGAGTACCAGCCAGCCGTACTAAGAACTTCAAATATACATTCTTGTTGATTCCCAACAGTAACCCTGTGAGTCAGATACTATCACTGTTCCCATTTTACAAATAAGGAAACTGAGACAGTTGGATCACTACTTACAGGGTAAAGAGCTAGAAAGCTGCAATGCCAAAATCTAAGCCAAGGAAGTCTGACTCCACAGCCCACACTCTTAACTATTATATGAAACAAAGAAGCCAGACTGTCTCTTAATGGGCCTCTAGAATTCTTACACCTCAGCTAGTCTACCAGTTTAGAATGTTTTCAGATGAACTGATAAAAAGAATATTAAGATCCCAAGAGTTAAGCAGAAAAAAAAAATGCCTTCAAAAAAGATGAAGTACATCTGGTTAACAAACATGGAAAATTCAATAGACACTGAGGAAATGCAAATTAAAACAAGATACAGTTTGGCTATCATAGTTAGCAAAATTTGATGTGTTTTTTAATTACAATATTCAATGCTAGTAAGCTATAGTAAAATGGATAAGCTCATAGATCACTGATAGGAATTTAAATGATGCAAATGTTCCTATCATTTAATCCCTGAATTCTCAACTGGGAAATTATCATATGAACAGGATCTGAAAAATTTTTAAGCTCTAAACACATAGATATTTATCCTGATTTTATTTTTAATAATGAAAAATCAGAAAACCCAAAGTTATGGAATAGAGAAGTAGCTGAATATATACAGTCATTAAAAATGGGTGAGACTGTGGCTGGGGCTGTAGCTCAGTGGCAGAGCACTTGCCTACCATGCATGAGGCACTAGGTTCGATCCTGAGCACCTCATAAAAACAAATAAAATAAAGGCATTCTGTCCACCTACAACTACAAAAAATAAAATTTTAATAATTCAAATAGAGACATACTCATGTTATCCTTCACTTAAAGCAAAATCAAGATTCAAAATTCTCTGTGTATGTTTTATATATATGTATATTTTATATATATATATATTTATATGTATATATGTATTTTTTATATAGGCCTATGTGTATATATGTCTATGTACATATGTATATATATTTTATATATTAGAAATAATCTATAAAATATGTAAACAAAAAAAAGGCCTAGCCAGGCATGGTGGCACACACCTGTAATTCCCACGGCTTGGGAGGCTGAGACAGGAGGATTGTGAGTTCAAAGCCAGCCTCAGCAACGGTGAGGCATTAAGCAACTCGGGAGACCCTGTCTAAATAAAATACAAAACAGGGCTGGGGCTAGGGCTCAATGGGTGAATGCTCCTGAGTTCAATTCCTGGTACCAAAAGAAAAAAAAAAGGCATATTTTTTAAAAGAAGAAGGAAACTCACCAAAATATTAACAGTGGTTATCTTTTAGTGATAGGAAGATAGAAATATATTATTCATGTCTCTTATCAGTCACATCCCACCTAGCACATCTCAAGTTCTCAGAAAGCATTTAGTAAGTGAATAATTATTAAAGTTTTCTATGCTTTTTCTGTTTTCCAAATTTTCTGCATTAAGCATATATATATGTCTCTAAGATTTAAAAAAAAAAAAGCCAGTATTATTTACTAGGTACTAAAGCCTCACCCTCTATCTATATGGGACTGAAGGGAAGAAGCTTAGATGGGAAGCTTTGAGGGTAGCAGCATAGTGCCCAGGATCTGTGTTTGACATTTTGATGTGTGAACCCCAAGCTTTGGTCAGGAATTGGAAACTAAATGTGCTAGAAAGAGTAGAAACTAAAAAAGACTTGCAACTGGTCCCATGTAGGGAGGCAGCCATCTGTCACCATAGCAACAGCTGTACATTTTTAAGCTGGAAAAGTAAAGCTCCCGAGGTTGCCAGACACTTTTCTAGACTGAATTTAGAATGGCAGTTTGGTCTCTCCTCACTAAGCCAGTCAAAACCCCTTGAAATGTTTCTGGCATCTGCAACTGCTCTGCACGAGGTGGAGCACACTGCCCAGCAGCACTCCAGCCATAAGCCTCCTCCTCAGAAATGGCACTGAGTACAGTTTGGCATAGGGATGGGGAAAAAAAGAAGAGACAGCACTCAGGGTAACAATATGACGACATGGAGAGGCAATGTGCAAGTCATTTTCCCACTCTGAGCCTCAGTTTCCTATCTATCAAATGAGGATGCCAGTCCCTTCCTCAGAGAGTGGTTGTGAAGGTTAAACAAAATCATGAACATATGAGCACATTTACAACTGGGTATTTTCTGTGCAAATAGTTGTTACTGTGATTTTTTACTATTATTTCCTAACTTTTTAAAAAATATTTACTAACTTTTTACCATATTATAAGTACAAAGTGTCCTTGGGAACAGTCTACCTGCAGGTTCATCTTTTCCATCTCTATCTGACTTCTTAAAATACTGATAATCAACACCAACATACCAAGAACAGCTTCCACTTACTGAATGTTCACTACATGCCAGATACTACATGTTCACTAGGCTACATTTTCACACATTTTGTTGCACAGAATCCTCACAACATAGGGGATACAATTAGGTCTTTTTAACATATTATGAAGACTTTTTCACCAGCCTGTTGCATAATTGTTCCTACTTTGCCAAAGTTTTTCATCCTCTGTTCCTTCAATTAATGCAATCATCTCACACAACCCCTGTACAGACTGGACAGGCATTATCCCTATTTTACAGAGGATTAAGCAAGGCATAGAACATTAACTGCTCTGCCCCCAAATCACATAAAAAGTCAGTAGTGTGGCCAGGCTAGGAACTTACCCACCCATAATGGTCAGTATGATGCTCCTGCTCCCTTTGAAGAGTCTAAGCACCTGGCCTAAGTCCTTCCTCACTCCAGCCTGGCTATGATAGGGTCATTAAAATTTATCAATCCTAGTACCCTTAAAGTCCCAAGGTTGGGAGAGGAATGACATGGGACAAACAGAGTAAAAATTACCAAGGACAAGCAACCATGAGTCACTTCTAAATATGCTGTATCATTCATTCGGTCTTCACGTCAATCTTTTCAGATGAGCAGATGCTCAGAAAAGTGAAGCCATATTTATAGCACAGAAGTAAAGGAGCTAGGATTTGAATTCTTAATTCTATTTGAATATCTTAATTCTAAAGCAAAAGCCCTTTCATTATCATATGACTTGTAAAGATTATGATATTATCACCAACATCATTGTCTTGAGAATTACATTTTCACTTAACAGTTCAAGGAAATAAAAGGCAGGAAACAGAGATATGGAAAGAACACAGCACACAGCTCTGGGACAGGCTTGCATACAAGTCATCCTTCTTGAGGCCTGGCTTGGGATCCCCACTGCTCACCAGTCTGGCCTCCCTGACTGCAGCCCAGTCTGCCAAGAGCCCTCCCTTCCTTCATCCTCACCAGCACCGGGCTTCACTCATTTCAGAGCAGGCTGTTTCTCAGAGAAAGGCAGCAGTGAAAGGATATTGGCTAGAGTCACTGGTGGTTTCTGCCAAGTACTTTAATGTTCAACAGACCCGTTTATAGCAAACTGAAGTGAAGGTGAAACAGCAGGCAGGCAGATGTCAGCGTCCTGAGCAGAAAGACCGTGGTCCTTCTTCAGCAGAGCTGGCCAGGGCTGGGGAAGTATGGAGGGGCTGGGGGAGTTTGGGGGTCAGATGCAATGGCTGAGACAGAAACTACAACTGAATCATCGTTTGATTCTAACATAACAAAGATGAAAGAAACAGTGTTTTTATAAAGTTTAAAAAAAAAATGACCTCAAAAGAATTTTGGAAAAAACTTTCAAAAGAAAACCTCACAGGGGCTGGGGATGTGGCTCAAGCGGTAACGCGCTTGCCTGGCATGCATGGGGTGCTGGATTTGATCCTCAGCACTACAAACAAATAAATAAAGATGTTGTGTCCACCAAAAAAAAATCTGAAAAATAAATATTAAAAAAAACTCACAAAAAATGAAATAAAAATTGTTCATAATCCTATCATCTGATATATATAAGCTGCCAACTGTTCTATGTATATGTGACTTTTCTTTATAAAAATGGCATCATGTTATATAACTTAAAGTATATTCTAAAAAAATTTCCTGTCTATAAAAATATTTTTACTGTCTTTCTATGCAGATTTCAATGAGTAGCTATAAAACAATTATTTTCCCACTGTCAGAAATTTAGACAGCTATTATACATAATACATCAGAGAACATCCCTTTAGATAAAAAAATTATTAACAATTTAATTCGGATAAATTCCCAAGTTACTAACTGAATTAGAAATGTATGAGTTTTGGTATATGGTACCATATTATCCTCTAGAAAGGCTATATGAATTTATATTAAAAAAACAATCTTCTCTGTATAGTGTAGGAGTAAAAACAATAGTTTCAAGACATCAATATTTTAAGCTCACATTAAAACTTCTAGGTTCGAGTTAGAAAAGGCAAAATTTTAGCATACATAGTTTTTAAATCTTAAGTGATTTAGACAGTATATACTAAGAACTTTAAAAATATGTATTTCCTCTACATAGTACTTCCACACTTGGGACATTCTATCCTAAGGAATTATAAAGACTTATAATGATATGCACTGCAATCTTAAAAAAAAATTAAAACAAACTAAATGTCCAAAAAGAGGGCTTCAAAAAGTGAATCATGGGTAAAACCTCAAGACAAACTAGTAGCCATTAGAAATGGCCATTATAATGACAAGGAAATGTTAAAGTCTTTAATGCCAAATGGAAAATGAAAAGCTGGATGTAAAATTGTATATACACTATACGTACTCATCATGTTTACAATTACATAGTGTTAAAAACAAACAAACAAAAGGAACAGAAGAATTATTCCAAAATATTAAGAGGAGCCACTTGTGCAGTGTGGGCTTGTGATATGCATTTTCCCCATTTTTGAAAATAGTCTTCTGTACTCTATATTTTCTATAATGAGCAGACATTACTTTGATAATCAGAAATAAAAAAAGTAAACAGATAAGTTTTTTAAAAACTGTTTATGAAGCAACAATCCACTGCATCCTTGTTTATATGAAACAATAACAAAAAAACCCACACTAAAAACTCAAATTTTGGTGACTTCTGACATGGAAAAAGAACAAAATGAAGCATACACAAGGCTGTCTCCTGAATATTTTCTCCCAACCTTTAATTATGTAATAGCAAGTGAAGTTACCACCAATAACGGTCAGAGCCAACATTAACATGACAACATCTGTAATCGGAGTGTGGTGGTGCACAGCTGTGATATCTCAGTGACTTGGGAAACTGAGGCAAGAGGATCGAAAGTTTGAGGTCAGCCTCAGCAACTTAGCTAGGCCCTGCCTCAAAGTGAAAAAAGAGGTGGGGATGTAGCCTGGTGACAGTTCCTCCCTGAGTTCAACCTCCAATACCCCCCCAACACACACACACACAAAGGATATCTTTATTAAAGATTTTTACAATGGAAAAATGATAAATTTTATAGATCACTGGTATTTTATAGATCACATATATGCTTACAGAGAAAGCCTGAAGAACAGCACTAAAATGTTAGTAATGGTCACCTCTTAGTGACAAGACTTCAATGACTTTCTTCATTACTTTTTTTTTTTGGCACTGGGGATTAAACCCAGGAGTGCTTAACCACGGAGTCACATCTCCAGCCCTTTTTATTTTCTAATTTGAAACAGGGTTTCACTAAGTTACTTAGGCCTCATGAAGTTTCCTTGAGCTAGCGATCCTCCTGACTCAGCTGTCCAAGTCCTGGGGATTACAGGCATGCACCACCACACCCAGCACTTCATTCCTTTTATAATAAACATGTATTACTTAAGTATTAGGAAAACTAATGGAAGTTATTTTTGCTTTGAAAAAAATAATAATAATCAACACAAAGAAGGGAGAGCCAGGCACAGTGGCATCTGCTCTTGCCAAGTAAAGACGGCCTGGAAATTTATTGACTCTGGAAGACTTTTATAAAGCAGATTTGAACCCAGTCCAAGATCTGCAGCCAAGTTCCCTGAGAGGCCAGCCTAGAACAGCTACTACCTAGCTTAACCATGGAAACAAGAATAACAAATAATGCTTTGAAACTATAAATCACTGAGTTTTGAAGTAGTTGGTCATACAGCATTACTGCGGCCACAGGTGGATTATGGATGCACAGCCAATGTGGGAAACTATAGTCATATTAAAATTTAAACTCCTCAACCTGGTCTTCAAGACCTTCTATCTTCTCTACTCACTCCCTAGTCTCAGCCTAGGTTAAAGCCCCACTGATCTATGTGACAAGGCTCTTTTATATCATCATCCGGGTGCACATGCTGTTCTTGTCTCTTTTCTTCTTGTCTCTCACTCTTTTATCCAAGAGCTCCTTTAAGACTTGCTCAAGTGCTACTACTCAGCACACTGACAACGAAAGTACTTACTTCTCAGCAACCAGAAAACCAGAGAAGAGAGCATTAGCAGGTAGGCTCTGTGATCAGCCTGCCTGTCTCTGGATGCCCTTTCTTCCATGTACCAGCAACATGATTGGGCTCATCACTGAACTTTTCCTCACAGTTCTGTAGTGACGAGAATAAATGAAGTAATATAAAGTGTTTAGCAGAGAGCCTAGCACAAATAAAAAGTCAACAGCATCTTATCTTCTTTTATGGATCCCTCCAGGGCCCAGCATGAGGACAGAGACTTGGTCAATACTGTCATGTGAATGAAAGGACCAGAGACGTTTGTTTAAACTGTCTTTGCTTCACACATGAATGAATGATTCCTTGGGTTGGAAACATAAACTCCACATCTGTCGGCAACAGTACCTGCTTCTCTATGAGCCTAATGGTATCTTCCGAAGTCTTGTCTTTTGATTTCTTCAGCTTATTCATGGCATTGGTGCGAACCCTCCGTAAAGAGTCCTTGGCCTTGTTGGTGTTCTGTTTGGCCAGTTTCACCAGCATTTCCCTGTGCTCCCTGGTTACTCTGATAAAAGAAAAAACAACAACAACAAAAAATCAACAAAATCATCTAGACATTAGCCTCTAGCAAAGAATTTAATACCACTCAATTAGCTCCACAGTCTGTAACTTTTACTCTGAACATTCTTGACACATGCCTGTGGATATGCTCAAGGTCAAGTATGTTGAGTTAGCTAAGGACAGCCCATAAGAATATTGCTTAAAAGCTCAATTCACAATAGGTAAGCTATGGAATCAACCTAGGTGCCCTTCAACAGATGAATGGATAAAGAAAACATGGTATACATATACAATGGAATATTACTCAGCCATAAAGAAGAATGAAATTATGGCATTTGCCAGTAAATGGATGGTAATGGAGATTATCTTGCCAAGTGAAAATAAGCCAATCCCAAAAAACCAAGGGCCAAATGTTCTCTCTTATATGCAGATGCTAGCACACTGTAACTGGGGTAGTGGCAGAAGAAGAGAAGTTCACTGGATTAGACAAAAAGGGAATTTTAAATGAAGGGAAGAAGGTGGAAATAGGAAAGACAGTAGAATGAATAGGACATAACTTTCTTATATTCTTTTATGAATACATGACCAGTATAACTCCACATCATGTATAACCAAAAAAAAATGGGAAGTTATACTCCATGTATGTATGATATGTCAAAGTACTGTCATGAATAACGAAAAAGAACAAACAAAAAATTTTCAAAAAGAATACTGTTAAAAGTACAAGAGGAAGTCTACACAAACCTGGGGTCAAATTCTGATCATGCTACTAATGAGACATAACATGGTCTCCTTTCCTCAGAGTGTCCATCTAATGTGGATTCAAAGAGTGATATAAAAAAATTAATGAGATGATGCATGTGAATTATTTAGCACTGACCCCAGTACATTTTAAGTGCTCAATTAAACAATCAAAAATGAGCCATAACTCCACCTCCTTCCTGCTAAAGAAAGCAATGCAAATAAGTAATGATGTTATAGAAATAGCAGCATCTCTGATCGCTAAATCATCCAAAACAAGTAGTAACTTCATAATCTTATTAAAACAAATGACTTTCAATTGATCTCAAAACCAAACAATATGTAACACGAGTCACAATGTAACATGTGCGAACCACTATGCCAGTTAACTTCCAAAAAGTACCCAGGAAGTCTCTATCACATTATAAATGTTTAATAAATATTAGTTTTTACTTAATATCCTCATCGTAACAGCAAAGAGCATACTGAAGGCTGACAATAGGCCACTGTAGACAGGCACTTACACACTAATCCTTACAACCACCACGAGATAGTTATTAGTTTACATTCAATAATCACAACAACCTAGCAAACTAGCCTAGCATGTTTGCCCGGCCTTCCTTTTTCCATTTGTATAAACTGAGTGCCTACCACTTATCAAAACTTTTTTCCATTTTATAAACTGAGTGCTAAGCACTGAGGATATTACCATGAAGATGACAGACCACTGTTTGCTCTCTTAAGGAGCTGCAATAGGAGTGAAGCAAGCAGTGACATTTACAATGGAGTATGAGTAGTGCTATGGAAAGGGATATGGGGAAGGCTAAGGTGCCACAGGAAAAAAACCCACTCAGCTAAATCACCAAGGACTGTCCAAGTTTAGGGAGGGGGCAGTAAGGGAAGGTTTTTCTGGAGAAATGATATCTAAACATAATAGTCATTAGGTCCGTTTACCAGTATTATGGTTCTTATCCTTCTGGGCACATAGGAGAAATGCACGTTTTGACCCCTTCCAAAGCTAAGCTACACAGCTTTCAGTCCCTTCTGGACTGACCTACTTGAATGTATTCTCAACATAAAAATGAAATGGCCAATAAAATCTGAGCAGAAATGATGGGTATCACCTCAGGATAGAAGCTTCCAGAAGAAATGCATGCTCTATCACATTTGTTTTCCTTGGCCACAGTACAAGTTGAGATAAGAATTTCCATCAACTCAGGTCCCAGAATGACCATGATGAACAGCCTCTAGAATGCAGCATGAGCAAAAAATAAACTTCTATTGCTATAAGCCATGGAGATGTTGGGATTGCTTTGTTAACGCAGCATAGCTCATTCTGACTAATATACTTTATTAGAATCAAAAAAGTCCAAACTGCTAGTACAGGCAGAGTAAGGGGAGACATGTAGGAGGAGGAAAGAGCATACAAAAAGGCTTGAAGCTGTGAAGAGACCATGTTTCATCACAGAGGAAGACAAGAGGAAGAGAAGACATCATAAGAGATGTACATCATAAGAGAAGAGGCTGAGTGGTTAGGGTGGTGGCTCAGTGATAGAGTACTTGCCTGGCACGTCTCAGGCACAGGGTTCAATTCTCAGCACCACATATAAATAAATAAAGATCGACTGACAACTAAAACAAACAAACAAATAAATATATATATATATGTATATATAAATTTTAATTTTTTAATTCATTGAACAAAAATCATGCTGACATGTTTAGGTCTCTTTTTTTGTTCTGTCAAAGCATATGTCAGGGCTGGGGTTATGGCTCAGCGGTAGTGCGCTTGCCTCGCATGTACAAGGCCCTGGGTTCGATCCTCAGCACCACATAAAAAAATAAATAAAAGTTATTGTGTACAACTACAAAAAAATATTGGAGTACTCAAAGTTTTTTTTTAAAAAAAAAAGCATATGTCAGTGTAAGGAAGGAACAGGAAAAAAAAAAATATATATATATATATTTTTTTTTTTTTAAAGAGAGAGAAAAGGCTGGGAAGCCATATCATGGAGGGTCTTTTATAAGGCCATAAACCCCATTTTATAAATAAAGAAAATGAGGTCCAAAGAGAGTTTACTATCTTATTCAAAGTCAAACTCAGGCTGACCTGTCTCAAAAGTCAATGAAGTTCTGAGTATAACAAAATTTCTCTGTCCTGAAATTAACATCACTGGTATTTGCTCCCTGACCCTCAAATCAGTGTGGTTCTTGCTGAGTAAGGATAATTCCACATTCTGGGTACATGTTCAGTGTGGAATAGTGATAAGTAGCTACTGAACATTTAGTGATACCTATCTGATATTTTCTCTGATGAGAAAAAGAATTCAAAGAATTCTAAGAAAGGAAAAGCTCTGAAAATGAAGTGGACGGTTGTATTATAAGTAAATTCTTCTGGACTGACTACTTGAAGGTATTCTCAAAATAAAAATGATTCTGATCACTACCGCTATTAAACCCCTCTACACCAGGTGAGTACTTCTGAGTATGTGGTCTCACTGATTCTCACAACAATTCTTCAGACTGAAGTCTAATACCCCCATTTTCCAATTCGGAAATTGAGGCTCACAGATGTCAAGGGACTTGCCAAGGGGCTTGAGTGACAGAACTGGGATTCAAATTCAAATCTTTCTGGACTGTATTCTTTCCACTACTCCAGGCTGCTTACCCCTTATAATCTATTTCAAATAAATCATGCACTTCTGCTTCCAGACAGAAAGCTTTTCAAAGTCAGTAACATGAATCTTGGGGCTAAAAAGGACAAAACCACCATGTCAGGAGTTTAGGGATTTGGATCAGATCTTGTTACTTTTATGGTTTTTAATTCATTGAACAAAAATCATGCTGACATGTTTAGGTCTCTTTTTTGTTCTGCCAAAGCATATGTCAGTGTAAGGAAGGAACAGGAAAATTAAAACTTGATTCACTGATTCAAAAAACTTAATCCTGCTGAAATCCTAGGAGGGGCAGAAAATAAATGCATTTAAGACTGTAAGAAACCTCTTAAACTTCCCTAAAAAGAGCTCATTGAAGTATTTCAATCTTGTTTTTCATATATAACTTGAAATAGATATTCCACTGCTTTAGAAAATCTTCTAACCAACTTTACAATACATTGTTATATGTTAAATGGAAGAAAAAATATTTTTATTAGTGCACTGTAATTACATAAAATGTAAATTGGGACCCAAAAATCTTACTAGTAAAAGGTTATATAAAAAAAAACAAAATCATATATGATTTGATCTTCTTAAAACGTATTATTTTGTAGTATCTGTTAATACAAATATGACATTACCACACAATTAATACCAGTTTCTAAATGAGATAGTGTACAATTAGTATTGATATTGTCAAAAACATTTCTGCTTCAGGATACAAATACAGACTCAATCATCTAAAAGATTTTAACAGAAAATGGAGAAGGAGGCACAATGAGGAGTGGGGAAAGGGTGAAAGAGGGAAAAAGCAGGGGATGCTGGACACAGAAAGGGCTGGGAGGAAGAAGGCAAATGCATGCCAGTTTGGGGTGCTGAGCTGAAAATACAAGACCAGACATTTAGGGTAATGGCAACAAACTGGTTTTGAAGATCAATCTCATTTGCAGATCAATCTCAGTTTGCAGATCAATCTCATTCCTCTATTACTCACTCAAAAGTTGACTATCAGGGCTGGGGATATAGCTCAGTTGGTAGAGTGTGTGCCTCGAATGCACAAGGCCCTTGGTTCAATCCCCAGCCAAAAAAAAAAAAAAACCTGACTATCTTTGGGCAAGCTACTTAATCTTTCTGAGCCTCAGTTTCCTTGTATCTAAAATGAAGATTTTAAAGAATGATTGGGAAAAGCAGATATGACAGATTAAAAATACCAACAAACACAGCAATATATGCCTTGAATAAATGATAGCATTTATAAATGTTTAATCAAACACATTTAATTACTCCCTCATGAAACAATAAGGACACATCTGTTTTAGAAAAGAAACATATTGTATTATGGAAATATTTTAATTTCTTTCCAAAGCAGTGATTAATACATCTCATCATCTACATCTCCCATTCATAGAGTTCTGTGAGTAGGCATGGTGATAGTTGGTGGTAGGGGGTGTATTCCAGGCTTCTGACCTTGGCTGGCTAGTTCTGAGCGCCCACTCAGCATCAGTTACCAAACACTGATTGAGCCCCCTGTGTTCCATGCCAGATTCTGAACAAAGCTGAGGTGCTCCAGAGAGGAAACAGGTCTAGTTCAACTTTTCCAGACTCA